CACATCAATGACGAATGTTTCACTACTCAATATTTTCTTTTGAAGCGTGTTCTACCTCGAACTCTGTCAATATTTTGGAATTGAAAATGAAAATAATTGATATTGTTCAGTAGTCGATCAAATGATATTGACGATGTTGTGATAAAATATAATGAACCTGATATAACTTCAAAGTCAATATTCAAAGTAAGAAAGTTTGATACAGCAGTGTTCTTGATCAGAGGACAGTTGGCATGGATTACATTTTGATTAAATTTATTGTTTTGATTGAAATGAAACCATTTGAATTTTCCATTTACTCTCCCATCTTCTTTTAATGTCGATGTCTCAAGAGTTCTTGAATTTGTCGGAGGTAGAAAAATCACCATGTTCATTTAATTTATCAATATGAAATCAGATTCAATTTCACTTTTCAATTTTATAATCAATGTACAATTTGTTGAGAAATAATCAAATTCTTGAAATTACGTTTCTTGAAACTAGGATTCAAAGAATTATCTTTCTGATTGATTCGGCCGTTACTTGATGAAGATCCATAGTAATTTCAAAAACTACACCTCACGATTTGATCTCCACAAACTTTATTTGAGAAATATATCACATGTTTCGCTAGCACAGTAGCTTTGTCAAATGTCAAGTGACTATGATAATAAAGTCATTATTTTGCTATGTTTCTATGTTTCAAGAAGTTATATTTTTGAACCATCTGCTTCAACCTTCTACATGCATTATAGGAAAAATAGGAGTACTTGCAAAAGTTCACTAACCGTTAAGTGTTTCAATAGTTAAATAATAGTCTAAGCAAAAGATTGAATAGTTCATATTTTTCACCTGATGAGCTGAATTATATATCTGAATTCTAATGCCATGTTTTTCAATATTAACTTCATTCTAGTCATTGAATTCCAATTCATTAAATAATAATGACATTAACGTCTGTTTGAAGGTGATTGACAACTGTTCATATTTTTAACTTTTTATTTTCCTTTTACTGTTCGAAATTGATAATGAGATATTCAAGTCTGATGTATAATGTTGTTGGCCAAAAAATAATATCTTACTCTTGAGGACGTTCATTGGTTTTGAAATCTGTACACTCGAAAATATCAATCATCAACATAGTTTTTCGAAAGCAGAAAATAGATATGTATACTTTTCGAATGCCAGTTTTCCGGGCTCAGAATATGACAAGTTGATAAAATTAAAAATCATGTGTACAGGGTAATTCAAATTCGACCCCATTATTGGAATTTCCTAAACTACAGGAGATACGTTGAAGCCTCAATTGGTGCAAAATTGGGTTTTTGAATTACCCTGTATATGTTATACAAATAATTTTTGTTGCTGGTATTATTATATCGTGCTATTCAGCTATTGATGCTCTGCTATTGAACGATTTCTCTTGTAAAACGGAACATATTACTATTCAGTTTCGCATCAAATATAAATGTTATCATTCTGAGTATCAGTTTTGGAGTGAGAAAATCTGTTTTAGAAATTTTAGAACTAATTCACGTTTTGATAATTTGCTTTTGTACTATCCATTCCATATTGAATGAAAGCGAGAACGGAGAACGGTAGAAAAAGATCATTTGGCGGGGTTTGAACACAAGTTGCGAAAAAAAAAGTCTAGTCCGTAAGAGAAAACTCTCAACTGAATAATAACTCATTGAAACTGATATAATCATATTTCAGTTATGATTTTTTCAATCATTATGTTTTCAGGTAACTGCTTTTGCATGAAATTACAATAAAAAAATAGCAATCAAATATTGGTTTTGGTGATTATGTCAAATATTTTTTGACTTCGTCAAGGCATTGACGATGTGTACCAAAATTCTATATTATGGTTTATGGGAGAATACTTGTGGAGTACGATGCAATGGAGTTCAACGGGTAATTTTGGTTCAAGATGGTAATTTCGAAGAATTGAATGTTTCCGATGGAGCTCCGCAAGGTTCGATTCTTGTCCAACTACTCTTCATTATTTCATACTTCAGATTTCAGTCACGTTCTCGATAAGTTCAAAATATATACTTATGCGGATAGTGCAATTTTTTTTTAAATTTGGTAAGGTGGAATTTTTTTTCCTCAAGAGAATATACTAAATAACAGCGGCACAAATCTAGTTGGAATTAGAAAAAAATTGAATGACATCGAATCCTTATAAATCATCTATGAAAATCTTTGGAAAGGTCTAAGACCACGGACAGAATCGAGTGTTTTGGACTTCACAGGGATCCTTATGTCGAATTTGTTGACCATATCAATACACTTATATAGAAATCCGAAGGTTTGCTGAAAAACTGCCTCGATACATCATTAGAATATCCATCGTGTGATTCCTTGATTTTGTTCCTATTCAACTATTGCGATATTGTCTATAGCTACTGTATTGATTCAATAACATCCTGAAGAATACACAAAATCCAGAAAAGTCGGATTTATTTTGGATTTGAATTTCCGGTACCGTGTGACTTCAATTATCAATGAAAATAGACAACAGAAAAGAACTGCACTCTACTTGTTTTATCTATAGGTTAATAAAAAATTATCATCCGCCTATCTTCTCAACGAGCTATTTTTCCGATCACAATTTATTATAGTATTATTTTCGAAAGTTACTACACCTATTGTCGCTACCGGCGCTATCAAATAAAATGAGAAAACATCTACTCAGTGAACAGTGATCACAACGCAATTGAATATACTATTATTTAATAACCAGCAATTTATATTTTGGAAAGCCATTTCAACTATCTGTTCTTAAAACTTTTCATATTTTTGTTAAATGCAATCTATACGTTATTATTATACATGGGTAATGTGGAAGAAAGAGGTTCACGCTGAACTCAGCATTCTCACAAGTCGAAAATTTCTTGAAAAAGTCCTCTCACTAGTGCTCTCCACAGAACACCTCCTCTGAATATTACATGTAATGCAGAAAGTAACATACAATCCTAATATTTTATTGGTTTGAAGATAATATTCAAGAATATTTGAAGAACTGATGCGTGACAAATAAGGTGAGAGAGATTATTGAATAATATTATTTTAAAAGAGTCGTCAGTTATAATTTTCATAAATTCAGTACTACAGAATGATACAAAGATACCAGTCTATAATTGACTGTACGACAAAGCTTTCCCATCAATCCTTGTTTCTGTACATTCATTGACTGGAAATAGCATTTTCCATAAAAATATTCTGCGTAATGGAATATCCACTTTGAATCTTACAGTCCCTCCTCACGAGACCCACACATCTCTGGCACATCGTTAATAATACACGTTGAAAATAATTTAGCGGAATCAATCACAGCGAATCAAAAAAGAGCAAAAACGATCAGCAGCACCGTCAGTAATAAAGGTTCGTGTCTTGTCGACACCTTTTGTACTTAATTGAAAGTTGCAAGCAACTAGTTCGAGTAAAAGTCTAGTATTAAATTAAATTAGATTGCGTCATTGGTACGTGCTGAGTACCTGCAAAAACGACATTGAAAACACGAGGGATGAAGGTCGTCGGTATCTCTTCAAATGAACCCAGAAATGAATACCAATGACCTGAACTTTTCCTGTGACAGAACAAAATCTGTTGAACGATGCTCAAATTAAATGTGGTTGTTTAATTGAAATTTCATGTCAGTGAATCCAAAAGCTATTTATGAGGCGATGACGAATCTCCTCGTGGTCGCCATCTGTGGTCAAAAATTGATGAAGGTCTCAGCGACTGTCCGTTGTAAGATGTCAGCTTCAACGTCGACCGTCTGATGAAATGTTATTCACTTTTTGTGTTAGCGTCTTCGTACGGAAAATCTAGGCTGAGACAAAAGTAGGTGGTATATACAACCCTCCACTATTAAACGTGAGGGTTTTTTTGGCTCATGATTTCAACTCAACTAAATTAATGCAGCTTCCTAACGAAGCCGATTACTTCATTCCAAGAGTGATTTTTCAGGTGTACTGGCAAGAGTGAGAATCTTCCAAACACTGAAAACCTGCTCACTTCCGCTGCAATGCAGGCACAGAGCACGTGTTCTGCTATCAGGGCCTGAACTTCCCTTGTCAGTCTGCTATTAATTTCCTCAGGTAGGTTAAATGCAAAAGGTAGGTAAGCAACACAAATGTGTGGCATAGGAAGTAGGTTTCCCGTGATACAATCCAGAGATGTGCTGAGTACTTAAACAGTTCTTAGTTCTTTAACTGTGAAGTTTGGTGTGTACTAAGGTACCTATACTGAGGTCAACCTCAAAACAATGAGCAGTCACAGTTCGTCGCGTATTTCGTATATATACCGCTCTTGGTGGAATCAAATGCGTGCCAAGTCACTTGAACATCTCCCTATCTTCGAAGTTCCAGACTATAAAGGTAGCAAGTGATGTTCGTGTCTCCAATTAGGCTACTGGAGAGGAGGAACTCCATAGATGCGAACAATACTCCAAAGAAGGTCTGAAGCGAGGTTTATAAAGCATCAAAAGTTACTGAGGTGTGTACAATTTTCTGGTTCGGAACAGTATTCCAAGCTTTTGAGAAGCACCCTTTGTAATTCCAGCGACATTGGTGTTCATTTTAACCCCCAACAAACTTATCGAAGCAGAATGCGGAATTGTCTGTCCTGACATTATAATCAATATGTTCAACCTCCTGCTGCCAGTGAAGATGTGCATCCGCAGATGGCAAGACAAGTGTGCTGTCATCAGCAAAGCAATATATTGGATTCCAATGAGTCGTTGGTATACAATAAAAAGAGGCTTGGAGACAATATGGATCCCTAGGGAACACCAGCGTTGATGGTAAAAGTTAACTGCGTTAACTGTTAAACTGCGCTAATGATGGACTTTGGCAGTGACAACTAGAAATACCTAAATTTGTTAAATCTGTATAGACTACGATAAAATTACAACTTGAAATGGCATCTTTGCGAAACCAGTATGGTTGATAGTCTAGTACTAGTATATAATATGCGATATCTTCAAAAAGCGTAATTATGTGAAAACTCACCACTCTGATTCAGATATAGTTGTCTCCTGAAAAACAAAAAAAAAAAGATTAGTACTCATCTTTATTATAAGAAACTTATGTTTCATCAAATATTTGGTGTAGATTGTGAAAATATTTTCAATGCAGCACTGATTATCTCGTGACAGGGAAATTGGTAAACTTTTATAGTGTTTTCATCCAAGTATTATATTCGACCATTTCAAATCTCAGTATCATTCCCAAGTTCAATTATCTTTGTGGTTTATGATAGTTTGTTATAATTATAACTTTTGAGAGTTTCGTTAATATGCATCGGGTTGAGATTCAGTTCATATTTGATGAAAAATGTATTCAAATTAGTGAACTGATTGTTAGAATTATTTCATCTCGACAACAAAGGAATGATGACCACAAAATTGATTATCGACACAATGGGGAATAGACACTGTAAAAAGTTAAAAGTCTTATTTGCCGACATAGAATGCCGACATATATTTGCCGACAAGTAGCTGCTAGTTCGTCTAATAAAAATACTGTTATATAAATAGGCAAAGATAGAAGGTACCTAAATAATACATAAGTAGATAGAAAAGTGACATTTCTGTATGAATATGAAATAAGGAAGCATTATGATTGTTTTCGTTGGGAACTATTCAATTCAGGTCTGAGACTGATGTGAATATCTTCAATTTCAATGACGTATTGTATGATATTTTATTTTATTTTGTCTTTATCATATTTCATAAACGAATTAAATCATAAATTCCAGTCGATAATTTCAAATGAAAGTACCAATTTCAGTTGAGCAAAATATATACAAAATCATAATCAGGAGTCTATTCCATAGTTTTCCATTATGTTTCCAACATTTTGGTACAAAAATGTATTATACAAGTAAAACCACCTAAACTGTGTCAATAGATTTGGGTCCAGATGAAATGGAAATTACTGATTCTGGTTGATATGAAATTATTTAAAAAACCTAATTTGAAGACTATTTCATGATTGAATGACATTCAGCATTTACTAGGTTTGGTTGAAACAAGAAATTTTTGGCAGGAACAAAACTTTTCTAAAAACATGCTGAAACTCAGAAACGATGATAGATATCGATATTCGGATTCTCAACAATAAGTTTGTCAAAAAATTTGATTTTCAGACACATCTATCAGTTCTCGTCCATTTAGTTTGAAAACAGGAGTTTCCCTTTGAAAGTGTCCAATTTGGCCCAACCAGTACATTTTGTACACATTTTAGTGAAATCTCCAATTACCATTTCTGAGTTAGAATTGGTAAAATTTCGAAAAACAAACGGCATTACTTCCAAAAACAAAATATGTCACGAGGCAACACATTAGGGTAACAGGTATAGTTCAAGTGAACGATATAGTACAACCTACGTATGTATGTATGTAATAAATATTTCGTTTATATAGGTGAGTGGGAGAGTAGGGATTCAAATAACAGAGTGATAATTGAAAATAACTCTGAATTCTACTTACTCACATATATATACAATCCATCGCTTTATTAGTCGCGATCCCTTGTTTGCAGACATGTTAAGGTGCGTATCCACCAAAAAAGCGAGCACGAGCGAGCATTCGTGTATGTTTGCTTGTGTTCGCTCATGTTCGCTCATGTTTGCTCATGTTTGCTCGACATATTGATGTCTCGTCTACACCAAAGCGAATATCTTCAAGGTCGTAGTTGATCTATCTACTTTGTGCGAGCACCTTTTGATGTACCGCCTTCTTCTCGATCTTTTCTGAACGCGAATAAGCATAAGTTCGCTCACTCACTAGCCCGTACTGATGCAGAATGCTCGTTCACTCTTGTTCGCTCGTGTTCGCTTTTTTGGTGAATACGCACCTTTAGGCGTACACATTCTCGAACCATCAGTCCAACTGTGTCGTGAGTGTCATACCAATTTTCGTCCAAAAAGAAAATTTGCCGTTGTTTTTTTTTATATTAAGTTATTTTTTCTAAGTATTTGTTACGCAATTCCACTATTATATTGCTTTCCCTAGCTGCTTGACATTTGTTTATTATTTCAAATCTAAATCCTAGTTTCTTTATCCACTTCTGAAAACTTTTGTCACAGCAGCTCACGTTATGGCCGGAAGTATTCAATTTCTTCCTTATGATTTCAGTTGTAGGAATCTCATTGCTTTTGTGACAGTCGCATATTGTTTTTATCAATGATTTTATTAGATGAATATCTACAGGTTTTAGTAATCCTGTATCACATCGCAAGACGCGATAACATTTCCCGATTTCTATTCGTCACCGTAACATGACTTCAAATTTAATTTTATGACTCTTCAGCCAATCATAAAACTCGGTAAGTAAAAATTATCCAATACAAACCGGCAAGTCTACAGTCCACGATGACTAGTTCGGCTTTCTATGTATTGTTTTTTTTGTCCTTTGAGAGTACCGTTAACTTTAAATATGCATAATGTTGTTTACTTCGACTATACCGCGATTTACCGGCCGTGTATGAGTTCTTTAAAACTATACGAATATGTAGCAAACCTTCATTCTGAAAATGAAACTGGATTGTTATATTTTCACCGCAGAAAATTCTGATGATTTTGTCAATAGTTCTCGACATTTGGCATAATATATTGCTGTCAACGAAATGTGGCGACCCAATTAGTATCAACACATTGGTATCAGAGGTCGGATCATGTCTATTGAAATCATTCTGAACTGAGATTATTATACCTACTGTTCATTAAAAACGGAGGAAATAAGATGGTTTCAATGATTCGGCAGTTTTGAGTTATTATTAAGTTGATGGTCACTGTAGTAGCTGTCCTGGAATGAGGATTGGGAGTTATTGTTCTGACCATAGTTAAGCAGACTTTTCCTTCATTCAGCGTGTGTTTCCGTAATTGACAGTTTCAGATAAAGGAGAGGTATATGAACAGTCACCTGGCCTTATTCTCGGTGAAAACATGAAAAAAAAACAGAGGTTCGATGTAGCCCTTTTCACTTCATCAACACTCATTTATTACTCATTAAATTTTTACTCATCTACATGTCACACTTGCTCCATGATGAGATGGTTATATATACGTGATGAGAAGGGTGGTAATTTCTTATAATGCTAATGTGATTGAAGAACCATCATCTTATTGTTATGAAGAGTTGATGTGTTGATGAAAAATCTGCCTTTCTGAGATTCGCAATTTGATTACGTTATGAGAGAAGGGTTGCATGCGACGAAGGCATTAGCAAGAATGGTAATGGACTTGCTTCTGGGAAGGTTTGACACCATCTAATCGACTGCTGTGCAACTTTTTACCAGTTTTATAGCCATGGGGGCGCACTATAATTGAATAATGGTTATTTCAGAACGAACCTTGAGTTGAATGGGAATCGCACACTTAATATATCATTATCTAGAACTGATATGTTATTTATTCCGCTTCTTATTTTAATTGATTTATATACTGTGTGATCCATCATGTGTGCGTTAACTAGAGTTTTTAACAAAAATTAGTGAACATTGGACAGTTTCTTTGAAGGTGGTTGACAATGTTTCGTCATAGCTTCAAGTCGAGTAGCGGAAACGGGAGGTGAGAAATGTTGGGTTCTTTCAGAATTGAAGTATCTGTATGTTCAACAGGAAAGTTTTTTAGATTTGAACGTAATGCTTCAATACGAAGTCATGGCCTCCCATTTCAAGTTTAAGTATTTCCGGATAGCATCATCATATTTGAACCAAATAACGCAGAACATCAACAAATTTCACCCTTGGACTTTTTTTAATCACAAAAAAATATGAAAATTAGTGCGATAGTTTTTGAGTTTATCACATTCAGACAGACAGGGGCGGCTAAAGACTTTATTTCATGTGGGCAAAATTGAAACGAATTTGTAAAATTCACTCGGATTCAGCTAAGCGTCTGTTTCACATTTTAACAAAATTCTTAACTGATTTATGAAATAGTTTCGAGAATTCTTATGAAAATGCTTGAAATGTATTTGAAAATATTTCAACATTATTGTAGCTGTACCACAAGGATACGGGCACAAATAGAAAACAAATACAAACAAATTGAAAAGCCAATGTGAAAAATATATAGTAGTGTTCATATAAATCTAATTATTCGCTTATAGAATTTACTGAAAAATATCGTAGTTTGAAGCTCTTCATAATAAAATTTGTTGTGAATTTCTTCATAAAGAAAGATCGAAATATAGATCAAAATAATGAAAATGACATATTGTTGTAGTTTTTTAAATAAAAGAATTTCAATCATGAACGTGAAAAACAGTTTTTTGGCCTACCGTGTCAGCTCTTTGTCCCGAAGCTTATGAAGTGCATGTGTTATGGTTATCAACATGTTTTGTAAAATCAATTGAAAAAATCATGTGTGTTACACACTTGATAGATCGGAATGTATAATGACCTAACATAGTGTTCTCAATACATTGAAAAACATGAAAAGTGTTCTATTCATTTTTGAGAGAAACTTATTTTTATAATACATATATTAAATTACGTTTATTTTCCGGATATCCCATGAGCGTAGCTCAATCCCATGAAAGTTTCAAAAACTGCCGTTACGGTTCGATACTTTTTTCCATTTTGGATAATTAGTGGGTCCGTTAATCCTTCAAGATCGCAACAGTTAGTCAAAAGTTTGATGACGAAATATATTAAAGACCCTTTTTTATGCGGCAACTACATGTGAGAGTGTTTTCCTAATGATACTGAAATAACATCAAAATAGTCGTCTCCAGAAAGTTGAACACAATGAAACATCCACACAATTTTCAGAAACAACATGATAATGGCATCCTTGATGACGAAACTCACGACTGTGAACTTGAAAACGAGATGTTATGTTATATCCTAGTTAACACAAAGTAAAAGTGAAAGACCGGCCAGTGACCATGTAAGGTTGTGAGTATGCTCTTACTCTCGGTTGTTAAGTAATTGTGGGTCATTATACCTTCACTTTTGATTAGTCTTATTTTCAAAGTCGAAGATTTGAACGGTAAATAATACTCCAAACGTAATTTGACAGCGTGTC